GGGGGGGGGGGGGGGGGGGGAATATTGCAGGGCAGAAGGAGAAGGGAGTCTCCAGGAAGAAGAGCTGGTTATAGAAAATAATTTGGGATTGAGAGATCTTTATTTGAAATGATGCTCAACCTTTTTGGCTGGTGGGCCAGATGGGCAGTGTCCTGTCCAACTACTGTGGGGAGCCCTGTGGGCTGGATGCTATGACTCCATGGGCTGTATTTGGCCTTGGGGTCAGAGGTTGAGCACCCCTGGTTGAAATTAAATGAAAGGATCAGATTACCTTTGCAGAATTTTGAAAGAACTAGCTCATGAAATTGCAAGTTTAGTAGCAAGGCTTTCTAATCTATCAGGCCTGTGATGGTACCATATGGTACCATTTTCTGGAGAATAGAAAATGTAGCACCTTATATCTAAGAGGGGGGGGGGAGAAACAATCCAGGCAAGTGCAGGTCTGTTAGTGTGACCTCAGAAGTGGGCAATACCTTAAAATTTGGAAGTAAAGAGTAATAAAGACACAGAGGGAATTAGGAAAAGGGATAAAAACATGGGTTTACTAAATATACGTTATGCCAATATCTTTTCTTTCTAGGCAAGGAGAAAGCAGTACATCCAATATATCTTGACTCTATATCTAAAATATCTTGACTTCACCAATGAGTAATCATTAGTTAAACTAGAGAACATAGGAATTAAAATCAGAATCACAAGGTGGATAAAAAAACTGGTTAAGGAGGAGACAACAACAAACTGTATCAACAAGAAAATTACTAGGCCAGCGGGTGGTTACTAGTTGAATTCCTCAAAGGTTAATCTTGTGATGACCAGTTTTGTTAATATTTTCATCAGGTTGTAGCCCTGGCACCTATGATTATGATGAATAGTCCTGTTTTGTTTTTTAAATCAATGACTATTTGTGCATAGTCATGTAGTTATGAAAATAACAAGTAGGTGTAGGCTAATGTTATTTGAGCATGGCAGTGTTGAGAAGCCCCCTCATTAACACAGGAGAATCTAAATAACACACAGGAAGAACTGCTGGACTTTGAGAATTCCAGTAAATGTACTGATGAATTTCATCTCCTTTCTAAGTGCAAGATTGTATACTTAGAGAGTAAAAATAGCTATAAATTAGGAGTTAATCCGTTGGAAATGACAAAAGAGGAGAAAGACCTGGATGTATTAGTGAGTCACTGGATGACTCTGACCCACCAATATAACGTGACCATGAGAAAGGCGCACACAATCCTAGGAAAAGTCAGGAAAGAGGTATTTCCAGGAGAGGAAAGACAGTATTAATACCATTATGAAGGGCTCTGATAAGAACTCCACTGGAGTACTGTATTGCAATTCTGGTCACCCAGGTTCAAGGCAGATGAATTTAGACAGGAACAAGTGTGGAGAAAGAAGGATGATCAGGGGGAATAGAGAGCCTGTCTTATTAGAGGAAAGTAGAAGAACTTGGTTTGTTTAGCTTAGGTAAGGAAAGGCTGAAAAGAGTTGACTGCTTTTCATGAATACATAAAGGTGATTAAATACAACAGAGGGAGAAGAACTATTTAAGCTAAAGGACAATATTGGGACAAGAATGTAAGAATTAGGCATAAATTAGCCTTGAATAAACTTAGCCTGGAAACTAGAAGAACATTATATTGTAGCAGTCTTCTTTTGGAGTCTTATGTTGTAGCAGCCTTCCATTGTCAAGAGCAAAAAAATCCCCAAATTATTTTAAGATGGAGTTTGTATGATGTGGTTGCCTGTGATAGCAGGAGGCTGGACTACATGGATGTCTCAGGATCCATCGGGTCCCATGGACATTTATATGTAAGCCTATTGCCTCTGCACCAGCTTGGGAACCCCTACAGCTTTGCCACTGCTCCCCGATAATAGCTTCTAAGATTCTTCTGCCTTTAAGGGGGTTCCTCTGTATTAGAGAATATTTAAGACTGCCTTTGCCAGTATTATCTTCCCTTTGATCTATGCAGAGACAATGATGCACCTCTCCATTAATCTCCAGCCATTCTCCCAGCCTGTTAATTCTGCTCCCCTCTTCCCTATCCCCTGTGCATCCACAATTGCCTTTCAGGGCAAGCATAAAGGTTATTGCTTCCAAGGCACTGAAATACCTTTTTGAATAAGGAGAGACATTTGCCCAGGCAGGATCACCTCTGGTGGAAGAGATAAAGGGTTAATAGTAATTACAGTACAATGAAAAAACAAAACAAACCCTCCTTGAACTCCTTGGAAACATTATTAGGAGCAGCAGAAACAGCATACAAACAGCACCTTTACCTTTGAGTTTAATTTTCACATATATACTTAGGTTCACTCTATAAACTCTTCTGGGTGGGGCAGTTGTTCCCTTACTCATGTGTAAGGCATGTAGGATACCTTGGGCACTACATAATAATAATACTCTTTGTACTTGCCCACCCATAAAACTATCTTGAACTTCATTAATGCAGTTAGTAAGACAGTGTCTGCTATATGATTCTTAAGTCATCTTTGGATCATGTTTAGACAGTGCACTGTGTGTTACTTGACTACTACGAAGAGAGAGAGGTTATGGCTATGCTAGTGATCCCAGGGGCATGACTGAGAAACAATGCTTGCTCCCTCTCAGCATGTGAAAAATACTGCAAAAATGTTCTTTCATGCCTGGAGCTTTTGGGAACATGCCTATGGATGTTCTTAGGATCTTAATCTTGGGTGTGCTCCTGAGAGCAGTGTATAGCTGTTCTAACGGCAACTGCACACAACACTTTTTCAGCATGCAGTGCGTGCAGAATAGAAGCAGCAAGGTGAGGCTTGTTTCTTGGTGATAGGTTAAGGCGGTCTTTCTTAATCATTTTAGATTCATGACACCCCTTGGAAAATTCCACCTGTTAGTTTAAATTCTTTTTTTGACTATGAAAAAATAGACCAAAGCTTCTCTTGTAAAGAACTCAGAAAGACCATAACCGGTCAGAATGTTTTTGACACTATGGATTCCTATTTGAGATCTCTGGGTTTATCTTGTGAAACATGTTTGCAAACCTAATAGCAGTAACGTTGTATAATACCATGTGGCACCCTTGAAAGGATCACATGGCACCCTGCTTGAGACTCACTAGGCTAGAGTCACTGTAGGAAAAGTGTAAACATCCTTTTACATTACAGAGGTAGATTAGTTGGTGCAAAGCACCTTTCCTAGTCAGTTCCTGAGAAGACACAGGTACTCTTGTAGCTGCAAATTTTGTAGATCATCTATAATACTTCCATTGGGAATTCATCAGGAATTTTGCCTACTATGGACTATGGTACAGCTCTCTGAATTCAAATAGAGTGAGGAAGAGTAAGATGTGCCTTTAATATCCCTTATATGGATTTTCCCTTTTCATTTTAGGCTTCCGAGTGCTCTCCAGAAGTCCAACCATTGTTGCTTTGGTATTCCTTCTTCTAAGCATCATTGTTATTATTGCTATTACACTTATTCAGATCAACCGAAAAGAGGTCCTCTCTCCAGGACTGAAGGTATGTTTTGAAGGACAGAAGGAAATGGAAGAGTTTGATAAATTGTTGTTTAAGAGAATAATAGTGATAATCTCTCTGATGTGTTTTACATAATAATCCCAACATGTTTTACTAGCATTTAAGAGTTAGAGTCTCATATATCCCCTGAGCTAAGTATCAAGGTCTCTATTTTGCCAATAGAGAGACTGATACTGAGAGAACAAGGGAATTGCCCAAGGTCACACAGAAAGGCAGTGGCAAAGCTGGGGGTGGGGTGGGGAAGAGTCCCTCATTCTTAGTCTTTTAGCTACTAAACAATGCTTCGTCTGGATCTGAGCTTCTCTATGAGAAGAAACAATTTCCTTTATCAGTCCAGATTGAGGCTTTGCAGTAGTTGTTATAAAAAATTGTTACTTCGTTAAATTATTTATGAAATGATTTAGCTAATGGCTGATTTTGGCCTCAGATAAGTGTATGAAACTGCGTAGTTCTTGCAAGTTACATGTGCATCAAAAAGCATCATGTGGAACTTAATGTGCAATAAGAGTCACTACACAAGTTAGGACTTGTTAGCTCCATTACCCTTCCTTCTAACAATACCAATGTGAAAGTGTGTAAATCTGAAAAGTTTAACTGAAATACTTTGGAAGATATATTCAGACTTTGTTTTCAGCTGCAACATAGTTAAAAGGTTATGTGGGCAGACTTAGAAGAATTGATATATATCACTTAAGAACAAGGTAATAAAAAATAAGCCCCTTCCTGAGAAAATGTGAGTTCAGATCCTTTGAGTCCTATGCTTTGTACAGCTACCAACACATTAAAGGAGAACAGTCCCACCCTGACCTAGTGCTGATGTAAAGTGCTCACTAAGATCCCTAGCACAGGGGAAAATTTTGTTACCGGGAATTCCTGGTAGTAAAAAAACAGCGCAAAAAAATGGCGTGAAAAAAGCGGCATGGCACACGCAAAAGTAGCATGTGGTGGTAGATACAGAGGTTTGGTCCTCCTAGGAGATGCTCTGGCTGCTGGCCAGAGTATCTCCACTCCTTTAGTAATCCCCCAGCTCCTCCAGGATGCCAGAGCTAGGAGGAGTGGGGAAAGGGCAGTTTCCCCGAAGTGGGTCTATTTGCCCCACACCAAAGTGCACATGTAGGGGTGTGCACTGCAGCAAAAAGTTGTGGCACAAATTTGTGTGTCTACTATTTTTGCCACTTCAAGTGCATGCCTTTGCATGTGGGGATGTGCCTCATGGGTTTATAAAGCCCCTCTGCTGATGTACTGCTAATTCCATGGTTGCTCATCATGAGTCCTTTTCATAGGGCTAAGTCAGGGCTGACTTTTCTGTAGCACTGAGGTTTATGGAAATTATGTCTTCAGGGGACTTGCTGAACAAACTTAAGATGGTGCATTATCTGTCCTACTCTGTTCCCTTTGTACCACTTCAGAATTCAGCTGTGATCATCAAAAAGAGTTGTTTTTGAAAGGATAGCTTTGATCCTGAGATACAGTAATGTCCTAGAATTAGCAGCTTTTAAGTGATAGCTACTGTGGCCTAAAGTTACTTTTAGTACCCTAAAGCTTTTCATGCAGGGGTTTCCAGTTATTTGTATGAAGATAAGTACAGCTGCTCTGGAGCATGAATTTGGATTTGAGGAGGCCTAGCATCTTTCAGCAAATGTTCATCATTTGCAGGACTGACTGGGTTCTTTGGCAGGAAAGGAGGATCTTGAAACACCAGTCACTGAAGCCCATAACACATATGCTGATGTGACAGTGTTTGGAAATGAAAGTATCCTAATATACGTACTTGCTTGAAATCAAATAGCTATGGCAATAGCAAAAAGGAAAACTATTGTCTCTTTCTTTACAAGTGGCTTTGTTCCTTCTGCTTCAGCTACTCAGCACAAAACTAAATCACTCATAACATGACCTTCTGGAGCATGGACTATTGCATAGTAGTACTTTTCCAGGTGCATTGATAGCACTCTGCCTTCAGGGTCATGTTTCTACTATACATATAGGCAAGCGTTACACAACATGTGTCATTTTGGTTTCATGCCTGTTGGAAGAGCTGAGGCTTTCATTTTTCTAATCCAGTAATTTGTGAAGGGTTTACTAACCCATCAGTTTAGGCTAGGGCACTCAAAGGGCTTGGGACTTGTTCAAATATTATGAAACAAGAATGCTGAAGGAAATGCAAATATCTTTCAGTACCATGACTTGGAAATAAGTGTGGTATTAAAGACACTAGCTTTGAATTTAGCGAGCCCTAATGCCTGGAAATATATTTCTTTATTGATAGAAACAGCTTCTTAATCGCACGTTAAAGTGTCCTATAGTTTTATCCCTGTCAAATCATTTTTGTCATCTGGTACATGCTTTTGATTGTGTTCTGAATGTGGAATAGCAAGCTGTGGGCACAAACTGATTGATTCAAGAAGCTTTGACCATGTTCCCAATTGTGGTTCTTAAAATTCATTTAAAATCTATATAGTTAAACTGGAACAAGCCCCCAATATGAACACACTTAAAGTGGTCCCACCTTTGCTGTAATTCTTTTATTTTGCATTAGTAAATTACGAAATTAAGCCAAGCTGATTTAAAGGAGGGTTAACTGTGTTAACTGTGTCCATTCTACAGGGTTGCGTCTATTTAGCTAGATTGAGTTAAATTGTGCAAGTTTTTGAGATAGACCAGGCCTTTGTAAACTGGTCAGCAGGTTGCATCAGAGACATCAGACCTGCCTTGTACTTTATTTAGCTTTTGTGCACACTGGGCATGTCTACATGAGACCTTTACTGTGCATTTGATTAATTAACTGTACAGTAAATGTCTCAGCATCTACATGTTCACCCCTATTAAGGTGCAAAAAGCTAATAAACTCTACAGCAGGGTAGGACTTGGAGTTTTTCTTTACAAGTGGAGATTTTTCATGCACAGCAGCGCACATGGAGACGCTGCCCTAGATGGCTGGGTTACAGGGTGTTTCAGCATGGGGCTAGCCAGCAGGCAGCCCCCACACAGAAGTACCCTTGTGCATCAGCCAGCCCCTCTGCAGCATGTGGAGCGTGATTGGAGCAGCCCTAGATTGGCAGGCTGACCTGCCAGCCCAGGCTGCTCCGACCAGACTCCATGTGCTATGTACGAATATACTCCGGAGTAATAAGCTGCAGAGTTTATTCGTGTGAATTAATTGCATGTGTAGATGTGAACACTGGGTGTAAAACACTACTGGGTTAGAATGGTAAAGTATTATGCCCACTTTGTACAGGCATAAATTATTACACAAAGTTCTGACAGTGGAATCTACTCCATTAATCTATTACCAGTGTCAGTGAAGTGAGGGGGAAAAATAGAATACTAATATGGTGACTACAACCATGGCAGTGCCTCTAGCAACAGGAAAAGCTGCATGACAGAAAATGGAAACATTCTGTTCCTTCAGGCTGTTTCTCTTTTCTTCATTCCCAGTTCTCCCAGACAGCAATGGAGTTCCACCCCCTTTTTCCTTGATCAGTTTTCCCTTTTTGCTTTCTTAACTAATCTTACAACATATTATAACAAACAGATGGTATACTGATCATCCCTGAGTATTTGGGATCCCCGACTTTCCGCCCCCTCATGCTATTCTCTTCTTTATTGACCTTTGTCTCAAATTATGTTGTTCTAGTCACAGACTGTCTTCTGCACTCCCACAATGCATTTAAAATATAGGAAGCCCAGTTTCACGCTCTCCCATATGCAGCACTTAGCCCAGATTTGGCCTAAGTAATGCTTTAAAAATAGAATGTTTCTGGGAACAAGAGAAGAAATGACAAGAACAGAGGAAAAGGCAACAGAGGAAGGGAACAAGGAAATCAGGCCTCAGCTTGTCAGTGGTACAACCTATCAAGCCAGACTGATATTTTTTAATGTAAAAACAGCCACAGCCAGACACTGATTCTCAAATGCAAGTAAATAAATTGGAAAAGTGAGGTAAAACCCCCACATTTGAGTTAAAACATTAAAAAGCATAATTGATGGTAGGGAGGAGTATCAACAGGATCTCCAAGTCCTCAGTTATCATGAGTTTCCTGCCAATGAGATTCTGGGGGTTGTAAATAAATTCAGTAACTCTGAAGCAGATAAGGGAAGTCTCCATCATCTTCCCTTTCCAGCTGCATGTAAAATGGGGATAATGATATTACTGTGGTAAGTCTGATATTATTCTGATAATGATATTACTCTGCAGACATTTTTTTGGCTAGGGACTTTTTCTTACTATGTGTACGTATGTTGTCTAACACAATGGGGCCCTCATCTGAGGGGGACTTTAGAAAAGATTGTAATACAAGTAAAGAATCATACAGTTGACATTTGATTGCAGCAACTGATAAGAACAGCAACCTTTTACCAGCATTTTTTCCTTGGGAATATTCTGTATACCATGAAGTCAGATGACACTCCCTATAACAGCCAGAGCTGCTTAGGAACAACAGCTAATCACCATGTTGCTAGTAACAGGTATTGACTGTAAAAGAATCATAGAAAAGCGAAAGGGACCTCAGGAGGTCATCTAGTCCAACCTGTGCAGAATCATCCCTGTCGAAACTATCTTAGACAAGCATTAGTTTCTCAGAGCAGAGAGTAAATCCAAAGTGAGAATATCCTGTTTCCTGGTTTTCAGACATCCCTGTAATGAGAGAAGCACTTAAACTTACAAATATGAACACTTTTATACAGCAAGCCAAACCACTCACTAATGTGCTAGTATTGATATTAGCAGCATTTGTACCAGTTACGAATCAGCTACAAAATAAGGAACTAACCCTATTTATTTGGATTGTATTTCAAAAGAAACAACAAAGGTCATCTTTTGCTCATGATACCAGCAGTCAGGACATCCTGGGCCTACTAACTGTTAGCACTTCAGAGTCAAGATTTACAGTTCTGATTGCTAAGGGAGTAGGTACATCTCACAAGATATATGAGGCATCTAGATCTTTGTAAAGAATTTCGTATCCCAGACAATCATTAATTATTCCATTTATTGTAAAGAGCTTCAGTCTGCAGCTCAATCAAGCATGCCTTCTTCTGTTCTTGTAGTTTTTGTTAAATTGAAAAGGATGAGTGGAGGCTATGATGGCTGTAGAAGACAACTGAAGTTTGCCTTGATAGCATTTGTATGTAGTACAGACTGGACATAGTGCCACACCTGGAAGCTATAGCAAGGACTAGAAATAGTAGTGCTGGAATTGGGTTTCCTATGGGGAATATAGTGGTGTGTGTGTGCCTGTTCTCGTGATGTACTGAGCATACTCACTGCCCATTGACTTCAGCAGTGATTTGGGGTGATCCACATTTTACAAAGTCTTCATGTGCCTCACTGCAGAGTTTGGGCCTGACCCTAAAAGGTAGAGTGCTCTTTCCATTCTCACTGAGTTTGTATTTAGAGATGCAAAGATGACTATCTGTGCTGCAATTTTTTTAAGTTGTCTGGTTTATGCTGCGTGTCGGTATCTATTGCATGTCAAAATATTCTTATTTTATTAAGCATGTCTGTGGCACAGTGACACACATTGAAAGTCATGGGATACTTTATAAAAAACAAAATACTGGCAAACTCCTGGACTCTGAACTGTAACCATTTTTTCAGTATGGAATAGTGCTCGATGCCGGATCATCTCGGACTACTGTCTATGTTTACGAATGGCCAGCAGAAAAAGCAAATGATACTGGAGTAGTAAGTCAGACCTTCAAGTGCAACGTGAAAGGTGAGGATCAAATGGAGATTAGTGAATACAGTAATAGTCTGGTGCCAAAAAAGTTCTCTTTCTGAATTATCAGGTTTGATTTTTTCCCGCCCTACCACCTCCAAGCTCAATTAAGTTCTAGGAAGTAGGGGCTGATATGGATATAGTTACAGTTCTTTGGTGCCAACCCAGGTCCTGGTGATAGAGTAGACTGGGAGCTACTCTTGTGTAAGGCAACTGAGGATCAGTGTACTGGAGCTTTGCTTTTCCCTGAGCAATCCTTTACATGCCTCTTGCCTCTCCTCAGGTTTGGGGGGCGATAGCTTGAGCAGGAGCTGCCTGTTCTCGACTTACATCAGCTCCCTTGGAGAGAAAGCTGATTGGCACGAAAGGGCCAGATGGGGCTAGAGAATTTGGCCCTGTAATGTTCTAGTTTCCTCAGCTATTCTTTAAATTGGAGGGTTCTTGTCCAAACAATTAAAAATCATCACTCTAGTAGCTGTTTCTTGGGCCTCTGTACTGAAACTGCCAGCAAGGCTACAGATTTTGATTATGGTTTTGTGAAGTGGATTTAATCCATTAGGAACTGAACAAAAAAAATTCACACAGGGCATTAAACAGCCATCTGATAACTGACAAGTGCTATTGATTTGGGCTGGTGTCACGTCTAATCTTGAAGTGAAATTCTCTATTCTATACCAGTCACATATTTCCCTTTGCTTGTTATCTAGCTTCAGCTTTGGCTGGATAGTTTTGCATACCGGTGGGTCACCAAATTAATCATGAAACTAATATTCTCTTTTTTGTTTTCAAAAAGCAGAGGAATCGCAGTCAGGGCTGATGTGCACAAGCAGATCTGGTTGGAAAAGCTGATGCAGGATCTGACTGCACTGTGGTTTGCTGGAGCCAGTGCTATCACCCACCCATGCACAAGTGTACAAATTCATTCAGTAACTGAGACTAGCCCTCAAAACATTTCAAGGCTTCCTTAGGATCAGATTATACTGGGGTCCTCACCTCTTTTTGAGGAATTGAGCACCACTCAGGAGCAGACCTGGGAAAACAAGCACTTTTAGGGCCAGTTTAGGTAGTTCTTCATCTATTTCAAAACATGCCTTTGTCCTTGGTTTGTGATTTGTGGTGAGGGGGTCTTTTTTCTTTTTCTCTTTTAATTAGTTTAATTAGTTGATCCAAAAATACTCTGTGCTCAAGCCAAGATTACAGCCTGTGAAAAGTGGGGCTTCAGTGAATAAAAATAATCTCAAAACTATTTCCTTTACAGACACAGTCTTCCTATAGCAGTGATAGGAAATTTTTATGAAAAGTATAAGCCTCTGAATTCATAGATTCATAGATTGTAAAGGGCTGGAAGGGACCTTGGAAGATCATCGGGTCCAGTCCCCTTGCACCAAGCAGGAAAGGCAACTGGGGTCAGTGACACCAGCAAGGTGACTGTCCAGTCTCTTCTTGAAGATTTCCAGGGTAGGCGATTGCACCACCTGTGGAAGGAGCTTATTCCACAGTTTGGATGCCCTAGCTGTGAAGAAGTTTTTCCTAATGTTGAACCTGAAGTGGTCTTCTAGGAGTTTGTGACCATTACTCCTGGTTTTCCCCAAGGGTGCCCTGGTGAACAGTTGTTCACTGAGCCCTTGATGTGTCCCAGGGGTGTCCCTGATGTAGCAGTAAGCTGCCACCAAGTCCCCTCTCAGCCTTCTCTTCTTCAGGCTGAAGAGTCCCAGGTCCCTCAGCCTTACCTCAAAAGGCTTGCTGTGCAAGTCCCTGATCATATGGGTGGCCCTTCTCTGGACTCTCTCGAGCTTTTCCACGTCCTTGTTGAAGTGCAGCGCCCAGAACTGGATGCAGTACTCCATCTGTGGTCTCACCAATGCCGAGTAGAGTGGGAGAATCACTTCCTTGGTTTTGCTGGAGATGCATCGACTGATGCACGCCAGAGTATTATTTGCCCTGCTGGCTATGTCGCACTGCTGGCTCACGTTCATACTATGGTCTATTATTACTCCCAGGTCTTTTTCATTCATAGTACTAGTCAGATTGATGTTGCCAAGCCCATAGGTGTGCAGCGGATTGTTTGTCCCCAGGTGGAGCGCTTTACATTTCTCGATGTCAAATCTCATCTGGTTCTGATCTACCCAACTCTCCAGCCTGTCTAGGTCTGCCTGTATCTGCAGCCTATCTTCAAGTGTGTTCACACTTCCCCATAACTTGGTGTTGTCCGCGAACTTGGCCAGTGAGCTCTTCACCCCCACATCCGAATCATTGCTGAAAATGTTAAAAAGCACTGGACCAAGCACCGACCCCTGAGGGACACCACTAGCCACTTCTTGCCAAGACATGACACATCCGTTCAGTAGAACTCTCTGGGTCCTATCCTGTAGCCAGCTTCCCAATTATGTTTCCCATTTAGTGTTTACCTGAAAAAAACCCTTTGATTATCCCTTAATATTCTGGGAAATAGAGTCTCTGGGAAAGGACCACATACAAGCTATTTGGATGCATTGGTCTCATTTCCAGCAAGTTAGATGTGTATGAGAGAGGGAGAGAGAGACTAATCAACTCTCTTATGAGACATATGCTGATCTGTGATATCAGCCCCGACCTACACAGATGGCTTTTTCTTTCCTTCTCTCTCTCCAAAATGTATATCAATGCTGATTATTTAAAAACCTCTATGCCAGTTCTTTTCTGGAAAAGGATATTTAGGATGTTGCTTCCTGATAAATTTAGAAAAGTAGTTTCTACCCGCTATTCTCTCCTCAGTGCTAATATACATGCACCCTGCCAGTTGTTTAAAAAAATGTAGAGAGGAATATTAACTTTCACAGAGCACAGAAGAACTGCAGCAGGGCTTGTCAGGTGGTATATCTTTACAGGTTGCAGAAGTGGCAGGCTGCCTACACTAGACTGTATATCAGTGGATGCACATTGGCATCTCATGTCTTGACTAATTAAGAATGTTGCCCTAAGGCTTTTTGGTGTGAGAAAAAATGTATAATGTGTAATGCAGCGGAGCAACTCTGCTGCTTAAAAATGCTGAAGATAGCACTTTTTAAGTTTGTTTTAATTAGGGCTTTTCTCCCAAGTGGAAAGAAAAGAATGACAGAATGTGAAGGGCCAGGGGACCATGTACAGTGATATTTGAATCTCTTCAAAGGTGCCTCATGGTCACAGTAATGAAAGCTGTGTCAGTCTCCTATGATACCTAGTGTGAAATGAAGCCAAACTAGACTGTGAGGGAGGAAGTGAAGACAGGGAGGAGCAATAATCCTGCAACATGCTTCTACCTTTCTTCCCTCTCCTACATGAGGGTAGCAGCTAGGCACAGACATGAGTGAGGGCTTCACAAAAATGAGCAGGTGGTGTGGGAGGAATCAATTCAGTGAGAAGCATTCTCCAATTAGTACTGTGAGAAGTGTCCAATCTATGTGAATACTGATCTGGGGCCAGAACCAGCAAAGAACATAGGCACCTATTTCCAAAACTGTCTAGTCTGGGGCAGTTGTGGGCATGTGTAAAACCAGAATGTCAGTTGCCTATAGTGCTTCAAAGTCAACCCAGGAAGCACTTAGCAAACTTAGATACTTGCAAGGTTAGGCAACAGCTGCACCTGTTAAACTTGGACATCTCAATTCTGCCAACGTCCTGCTTTAGGTGCCTAAGTCCTTTATTGTATATAACTCCTTGTTCATAATCATTTATAGGATGGATCTGCTCTGTCTGTCTATATCACACTGATCATGACACTATGAGGTACCTGACAAATAGACATAGATTCACATACATGGTAGGCATAAGAAATTCTCATTCTCTCACACCCACCATGCACTGGTGAAGGAGGTTGACTGTTTTTTGTTTTGTTCCTGGGGTATCTTTCTTTACTGTGGTTCTTTTGTTGTTATTCATTCTTGCTGTTATAGGAAAGCTATGGTGAAGAGATCAGTCTGGCAAGATAGATATCCTTGAGGTGGCGAGGTCTATAGTGTTGTAGGGTGACATCTCATACTTGGGGACAGTGATGGATTTAGGCTTAAGCTACTTAAACCACAGTTTAGGGCCTCACAATATGAGGTGAGGGGTCTCTAAATAAGAAAAAAACTGGACATTTTTATTCTAATATGACAATAATATACATATATTTGGCTCCACAGATATTATTCATATTGAGTTCATAAATTTGTGCAGAACTAACAATAATTCATCTTAAACATTTCATGAAAATCCATTTTCATGGATTTTGTGGATTGTTTTTATCATATGGGGTCTCTTAAACTGGACATAGTTTAGGGTTTCAGCATGTCATAATCCAGCACTGGGACCAGCCATAGAAGAGGCTCAGTTACTTGTTCCCTCTAGTCTCACTTTGATCCTATTGTTCCTTAGGCCCACAGCTGTGGGGTTAGGCCTTTGTTCCAAGTAATCCGTGAGTTGGCATATCTACTTTGGAGTCTGGCTTTGATCATGAAACCTCCTTGGCACTTAAGTGCCCAAATTGTATAAAGGAAAATCTGCTTGTTGCTCTCTAGAAAGTTTTTTTGGGTGAATTTCTTCACTTAATAATTATGGGCGTGTCCATTTTACAGATGGGGAGACTGAAACATGGGAAGAGAAGTGTTTGCCCACAATCAACCAGCAGTGACTCCTGGTTTTAGGTCCCTACTTAGTAGAAGATGTTGATTTTGGTCAAACTGTGATCAAATTACACATTACAGTTTGATATTTTTGCTATCATTGGATGCTAGGTAAAGCTTCACATATGCCAGTTTGTTAGCTGTAGTCCACATCACTTAGGACACAGAGGGGTGGACTTATGTGTAATTTAGATCTGTGAGTTTTCCGTGCAGGAGACGTTTTACTTTTCTGTACTGCAGGGCACACAAAGTGCTATTCTGCTAGTTTGTGTTTGTGTGCAGTTGGAGGGACAGAAGCTTAGAGGATGTAGCTCATACGCTGAAAAGAAACATTCCTGACAAAACATTTCATGGCATGTTCATGAATATCTGTATTACTCTTTTAGATTTTTTACTTAAATATTTTATGTTAAAACGTCTTTTCAAACTGGAATTTCAAAAGGGTGGGAAAAGCTGTTTCTTCTAATGTCTTTCATTAGGTTAAGATATAGCTGGTAAAACTAAATTAGCCACTTGTTTTCTTTTAGGCCCTGGCATATCCAGTTATGGGAATAGCCCTCGAGATGTTGCCAAACCCATTGATGACTGTATGAAAAAAGTCAAGGAGCAAGTTCCATCCAATATGCATAAAAATACCCCTGCCTATCTGGGAGCTACTGCTGGAATGAGACTATTGAGGTATAGTACAATCCCATAATACCCCTTGATGTACATAAACAGAAATGCAGCAAATGAGACTAGGAAGCAAATATGCGTTGAACAGACATCTGTTTACCAGGAATTGATCTGTCTCAAAAGGAAACCAAACTCAGCCAATAAAACTAAAGACTTGGAACTGCTGGTTTGGCTTTTTCCAGCTCTGTTGTTCCTTTCCTATGTTACTTCACTGTATTGAAAATAAATATTTGCTTGCTTTACCAAAAACAGTACATAGACATCATTCTCTTCTCAGAATGTGTTCTCAACTCCCACTGAGTAAATGATCAGTGTATGTGTATATTTGATGGTAAGAAGGCCAGATTCACACCTGGTATAATACAGCTAACAATGAAGTTTCAGTGGATATGAATAACTTCCTATGTATTACACTTTATTTATGTATATGGCTTTCTGGTCTGGCACCAGCTGACTTTTATATTTATTCTGTGGGTAAACAGAAGATTAAAATCCCCATAACTATCAAGTCGGCACCTTTTACATAAACATTCAGTGCACTAAAAACAGTTTTATATAAAGAACAAAATACCCAGGTATTTGTATGATACACATGGCCACTCTTGGACATAACTGCAGTTTAACACTGCTAAAGTTGCTTTAAATCAACTTCTTTTGCAGAAAGTAACTGTACATCTAACTTGGTTTTCCTTAGTACAGGCTGATCCTCTGAGATAAAATAGTCTTTGATTTTTCAGTAAGAAATCATGGGCGTATTTTTAGTCATTAGTTTAGCAGACAAATATGAAATTGCTTTTTCAGATGCTCAGCATGTTGTGTTTTGTGAATTGCTTAGGTTGCAAAATGAAACGGCAGCCAATGAAGTCCTTGCAAGCATTCAAAGCTACTTCACAACCCAACCCTTTGAATTTAGGGGTGCACAGATCATAACTGGGCAAGAGGAAGGGGTGTATGGATGGATTACAGCCAACTATTTAATGGGCAATTTTGTGGAGGTGTGTGGAAAAAACCTGCATGTTTTATCTTACAGTACTGTTTTATAAATCATACATTTTAGAAGAGTTGTATGTTAAAAAAGCCGTTGGCTTCACATTCCTAACAAAAGTACATTACAGTAGTTTTTGGTATAAAGATAGAATTAAAAATGTAGAGTTTTTACTTTGAGTAATACTGAAAATGCTTTATAAGGGATACAGGGGTGTAGGCTGTAGTCATGTTGGTCTAAGGACCTATGTCCTTATAAGGGATATGTTTCATGGAATGTGTTCTATATCATGATCAGGTACAGAACAGGATTCCTGGCTTAATGATAAATCTAATGCCTTATTTGCACACACTGCTTCAACAATACTGGTACAGTTAAAGCAACAGAAATCCCCTAGCATGGACAAAGCTATAAACATGCTTAAAATATTCCTTCAGCTGCATCAATTTAAATAGGAATATGCTTTCATACAGGAAGAATGATGGTTTGTGCAGGTAATGTACCGTAATTTATTATGCCACCAGTATGACTATATCCACACTAGAGTTTGTACCAATATTTTGGTAAAAAAAGAAAATCATGCCAGGTCCCTTAGCTAACATAGTTTATAGTAGTAAAAATCTGAATGCAGACCAGGCCTAACTCTACCAGAATGTAGATCTCCACTGTTCAGTTGCATTTATCAGAGGTAGCTGCTCCCAAGAATACTCAAGAGGGTTATTCTAGGTTATCTTGTAAGACTGAAAAGAAATTCAACCAATTTCCAAAAATGGTTAGTTCTCCCTATGGAAGAGTTACTAGTAGATTGTGACAGCTTGCAAAGTGAATTTATAGTTCACTGATCTGAATCCAAAGTGACATCTCACTTCAGAGACATTTGCAGGAGTTAATCACACAATTGATGGTATATGAACATTGTGGAAGTACTACATAGTGATTTCATAACTCTACACTCTGGGATATTGTTTTTCCCCTTTGCTTACACTCACACAGCAACACTGACTTCACTGCAGGGGCATAACTGAATATGGTCTCTAATTTTGTAGGGCTTATGATCAAAATCTCAAATTCTGTGTGAAAGATTTTGTGGATTTTGAGGGTCCACAAGATGCTAGGAAACCAGGTTAGTACACAGAATACAAAGGACTAAAGCAACATGAAGAATTTGGCTCTTGTTTCAATAGAGTCATGGTTTCATCATAGGAGTTTGCATGAAAATATTTGCTGGGGTATGATGTCTAGTCTCACTTCTTCCTGAACATGACACAACAGGTACTCGCACACAGCAAAAACTTCCTTCATAAATAATAACAATATTGGAAAATATTTGTGGATTTTGCATGCTTTATCACCACTATTATTTGTATTACTGTATTCTGCATTATCATGACATGAAGCTTCAACAGCAATTTTGCTAGGAGATATATGAAAACCAAATAACTTCTAAAAAACTAAAAACCACCTAAGAAGATAGATCTTCCTTGTGAAATTGGTTTTAAAATGTAAAACCTTTGAATGCGGTCCTCACCTGGTAGAAAGCTCCAGAGCTCATGGACATCAATGGAGTCTTTAATGGAGGATCTACCTCTCTCTCCTATTTCTCATTCACTTCTGGCCTGTCTTTATTCTTTGTAGTGTGGTTATTTTAGGCTTTTAAACAACACCTCACAAACAGTAGCTAATCTTGAGGCTAGCTCATTCAGAAAGAGAAGTAAATATTATCTCCACTTTTTTGATGCTATGAAATTAAGTGACTTGTCCAAGATCATACAAGGAGTCAGAATCAGGATTAGATTTTAGTGATATCAGTGTTTTATCACTGAACTGTCCTTTTCTCTGGGCTCAAGCTATGTCAGATCATTTCCTTCATTCTTTAGCTTCATTTCCCTCTGAAAACATAACATAGTACTCTAAAACTTTTCTATTGATACCACTGTGAGCTCTTCAGTATATCATATGTAGCATACAATTTAACTGAGTAGAAGAGCTTGAGAGAATAATGCAGGCAACATTTCTAACTAAGTTGTGTTTTGCTTTTCAGAGAAACCTTTGGAGGACATGGAGCCATCCTCATGGAGCAGAGACCACAGGTGCACTTGATCTAGGAGGAGCTTCCACACAAATATCCTTCATCCCAGAGGACACCCTGAAGACTTCCAATAGCACATTGCAAGTGCATCTGTATGGTTATGAGTACAATGTATACACCCACAGCTACCAGTGCTATGGGAGAGATGAGGCTGAGAAGAGGCTCTTAGCATTACTATTGCAGGTATATTCAAGCATGTGTATGGTCTTGTCCTTGTTTGTATCCAATTGACTCTCTGGGCATGTTCTTTCTTTCATTTTATATTTCTTTTATGGTAAGGCTCTGAGACTTCAGTTAGGGCCTTGTAATGCTAAGTGCTGGGCAAACATGGGGCTCGTGAAAGAAGATAGAGGGGAAAATGGTGAGATAGAACAGAAAGCTTTGTTACAAGCAGGTGATTCATTTTAGAGAATCTGCCTCAAGCCATCAGAGACCTCCACAAAAAAAATCCTGCTAAGCAGTAAAACTATCTTTGTAAATGTTGGCTCACTTCATGAGTGATTTCTGTGAGAAAGGACTTGGTTTGAAGTTGAATTAGTAAACTGCTTTCTTGATGGTCTTATTAGGACCAAAAGGAGAATGGGGATAATATAAATGTACTAAATTAAAGTACTATTATTATTGTCAAGTTGAAAATCTTTTCTGCTAAATAAACTTTACTGTTGTTTTCCCTCAGAATTCAAGAGACAAGTCCAAGATTGATAATCCTTGTTATCCTCAGAATTATGAAACTGTTTTAACAATGAAACACGTGTGTGGAAGCCTTTGCACGCAGTCTCTAAGACCAGCAAATTACAACCAAGACCAGCTCATACATTTCAGAGGAACTGGAGACACTGCTCTCTGCCAGGGGGTGGTGTCCTTATTGTTTAACTTCACTGCTTGCAATGACAAGGAGGACTGTTCATTTAATGGAATCCATCAGCCAAAGGTTAAAGGGAAGTTTGTGGTAAGTTTGCAAGCACAGTGCATACCCACTCTGCTTATTAATTCCAGCATTTCCTCCCTGCCTCTGATTTTATATAGAGTCATGAGAGTAATTTGCCTTTCATCTGCTTTTATTTATAGGCCTTTTCTGGATTCTACTATACAGTAAATGCTTTGAATTTAACTGGACAGTTTTCCCTTACTGATTTTAATTCAAGCATGTGGCTTTTCTGTTCACAGAACTGGAACCAGGTCAGTATGAATTTTCTGCATTTGAAAAGGGTGAAAGGTTAAGAAGACATGCCACTTAGAAGTAGACCATTTTAGTTCAGATGAATAAACTTGTTTTTAAATGGTGCATATAACTGTTAGCATTTCCTTCTTCAGAAGTTTCAAATTCTCTCCAAACTTTGGACTAGGTTCAAGAAACTTTTTCTATGATTTTAGGTCATTTTCTGCTTGAAATGAAACAAGCAGTCAGGCAAACCAAATGTATTTTCAGCTATGTTTTGTGACTTTTTTGCACAGCTGTCATTCATGCCACAGCAAAAAGGGGTTTGGTTTTACCAGAGGGTCTCTCTACATGTGCAGGTAAAGGCATAATGGGATCTGATGTGCAATCCACACAGTTGCACCTCCTGCCATGCTACATGTGCCTTGCAGGAAGCTTGATTGTGGGATCACAAATCAGAACCCATCAGATCTTATTATTGGCTCAGGGGGAGTCCAGGATCATGATCCTTGCACCAGCAAGAAGTAAGCTCCTGTGACTGGGAGTCCCTTCAGTTGACCTGCTCTCCAAGCTGTGGGGGTGCCCCAGGGGTTCCTGTGGCAGGGGGACTGCAGCTGACACAGTCCCCCAGCCTTGGGGGTGCTCCAGGCATGCCTGCTGCTGCAAGGCCACAGCTTACACAGTATCCCAGTGTTGTAGGTGCTTTAGGTACCCCTGCAGCTGTGAGACTGCTGTTGATGTGATGTCCCAGGTATAGAGTACCCTGTAGCTGGGACATCACATTATCTGTTGTCTCACAGCTGTGGGGGTGCCTGGGCGATTCCTGTGGCTGGGAGTCCTGTCAGCAGATGGGGTTCCCAGGTGTGGGGGCATGTGTTCCCACAGCTGGAAGCTAGGGTCAGCTGGGAGACCCCAGGTTTGGGGATGCACATGGGCTCCTGCAGCTGGGAGCTCTGACCACCTGATGGGGCTCCCAGGCACAGGGGTCCCTAATCATACATTCCATTAATGGAATAATAGAAAGCAGCTACAAAGTTATTACAAATATTTTCTGGAATTAATTGATAAAAAGAATAAGCTATAAAGCCATTACTTGATTGAACATGTAGCCAGGTGACCACTTAAGGTATGATTAACTGGTTAATCACACCTTAAATGTAACATGTAGATGGGACCTGAAATTAACAATGAGCTTGATCTTCTTTATACCAATTTCTTTTTTCCTATTGTGGCAATGTAAGGGGTCATAAACCTGGTAAGCACTGTGGAGAAACCTTACTGAGTATGAGAATCAGGTCTAGTTCTCCATACCCTCTTCCACTGATCATTCTAGATACTCACACTTATCAGAACCTGCTTTCTCAGGAAGCTGCTTTTTTGATGTACTGATACGTTGATTGTTGATGCAACAGTCAGAAAATGAAGTGACCAGACATGACAGACTTATAATTTTAAGCTGTTTCTAACTGGAGCCTATCCCAGATAGTATCAAAAATCAGTACTGTCTCATAAACAGTTAAATTCAATGGTAACATTTACATTGCCTTAAGAAGGGAGTAGAATTAGAACCCTGGAGGATTTTTACACTGGAGGCTAGATTTATTCTTCGTTTGCGAACCCCTAAGAGAGTATGCCAGAAGGAAAGACATATGTTAGAGATTTTATTAATGTTAAAAGCTATAAAGGAGCACCAAAGTGGCACTCTGCCATGCCCGCCTGTCACATTGCTCTGCAGTGCTTCTTTTGTCTTGCTTGATAGTTCATTTCTGATATTGTCTTATTAAATTTAATTACTATTATTAATCTACCTTGAGGGCATTTTGTTCGCTTCAAAACCAGTTTTGCCTTCACTAGTCCCCATTTCAGCATTAAATGGAAAATTGGACCAAAACCATTTGCCTACTCTTTGCTACTAAATAGAGCATCTAACGCTGAAATGATGACAAAAATACCCAGGTGACATACATACAGAAAACTGATCTGCTAGCCTTCTGTATCAATCACTGTAATTTCTCAGAACTTCTTGTCAAATCCATCTTTCTACTGCATACTATATTGTGATCTCAGCTATAGCAGCATAGATACAGAATAACTCAAGGCATAGGTGTTAACTTTTATTTTTGCTGTGGAGGGGAGAGGGAGGAGCGGGGCTAAGAGGATGGACACGTGGAATGTTTTCCATATTTCGGTTGACAGCCCTCTTCCTGGGGTGGAGTGGGGGCAGGGCCCTCATGCCTCCACATACTTGGCACCCAAGTATGAAAGGATTTGCTTGAAATTATTTCAGATTTGCATTGATGCATCTCAGACTACAAACGGTCTCTGTGTTTTCTTTTAACATTCCAAGCTATACTGTTCTCATTATCTGATCATTTTTTGCCACACTACGCATCTTAAAGAGCTTGGCATTTAAAATGTATTGCTAAGCTGTAAAATGACAAAATGTAATAACTGTAATAGCTTCAATCTTTTCCATGCAGATATTATAATTATTTACAGTATAAAATAAATGATTAGCAGTTTTTGTCCAGTGTAAATCTCATTGTCTATATGTCTACAATCATACTTTTCTAAAGATGTCTCTGCAAACAGCTGCTAAGTATTCTTATTGCAACTTCTGCTTAGTTAAAGTTTTTTCTGTCTTAATTTTTACTTGTGCTATGAATTTTTTTGTTTTTATTTTAGCTTCAGTATATGCTGCCTAAATTTGAAGAAACCTATGCTAGATCCTACTGCTTTTCAGCAAACTTTATCTATTACCTGCTTGTACAGGGATACAAATTTAGTGCAGACACCTGGCCTCAAATACATTTCCAAAAAGAGGTGAGGATGAGTTTGTTTTTATTGTTTTAATGTTTTATTAACAATTAATTGTTACGTTGACTAAGAAAAAATTAAAAAATGGAAGTGGAAGGATGTTTTATTCCAATGATTGTGACAAGCTTTTTATAGAGGATACTGTAACTCCAATGCCACTGCTGACTTCAGTTGATGCCAGTGGCAGCAATATACTCATTCCAGATAATTCTGCCCTCTGTTAGCCCTGAGCAAATTCATCAGCCACCTGGCTTGCACAGGGGTTTAATACAATTGTAGTATTTTCTTAAAGCAGATGGCAGTGTGTAAGTGAGTTCTTATGACACTCTACCACTGTAAGACTGGCTCTAAGGGCAGGGAAGATCTTGGGTGCTGTCTGAGCAGCCCCGAAGGAGGAACCATATGAGTAGCCAAATCTGGAGCAAGGTATTAGTTAAACTTTGTTACCTTATTATTGTTCTTTATTAATAGAGCCAGACTCCAAGGAAGTAGGTATCTGTTTGGCCTTTACATACTGGGTGGACTGGGACCATAGAACAGGGTGGTAAAAGTGTCTGCCTATGGAAAGCAGAGTTTGTTCAATATGTAATGTTCTGCCTATGTGGAATGCCACTGAAAACAATGGGCTCACAGATCTGCTTGTGTAAGTGAGATTTTAAGTTCAGGACATAAACTGAGGAGGTGACTCGAACAAATGTCTCTAAGTAGTATTGCTTAATGGAGTGATTGGCTAGTAATAGTAATGAAAAGTACTCAAGCACAGAGAATAGGACTGTAAACATAAGCTTCTTTTGTCTCTTGGATAATTTAGAGCAGCAGTTCCCTAGAGAATCAGACTTCAATATTTGAGATCCTTCTTCTCACCACCAGATGAAGTCCTGTTCTTGCAAATCATTCCAGTCAGGCTTTGTTAATCTCCTTAGGAAACTTTTAAATATAGTAGCAGTTGTATAAAGTGATAACAAATGGAAAGGGCACAGGTTCTATACCATAAGGGTCAGCACTTAAGAGCTAGGCATCATAAACAATGTTTTCTACGTAGCAACGCTCTGCTGTCAGTATACCGGGGGAGTGTAATATAAGTATGTTACAAAACTGCATTGTCTGGCTTGCTAGCAACTGACTCCTAGATCTTGAGAAGGGTCAGATTGGCCAGAATCACTTCTATGCAAAAGGCCAGCATGAGGCTTAAGTCTTAACTTGGACTTTTGTGGTGCATATAGTGCCGTAGCAAGGGGGGTGGCGAGTGGGGCGACCACCCTGGGTGCTGAAGCGAAGGGGCACCCATAGGCACTGCCCAGCCAGGGCAGGATGGAGCCATGAGCAGCTCGTTGGGGGGTGGGCACAGGGATGGAGTAAGGGTGGCTCCTGCCACTGCCTGCACTCCTGGGCAAGCATGGGGGGGGGGGGCATGTGCCCCCCGGATCTATGCACAGGGCAAGGATAGGCTGCTGCTGCAGGCTTTATCCTGGGCGCCAAACTTCCTTGCCATGGTACTGGATGCATAAGGGTTTATGTTAGCTCTTCAGCCCTTGTATTTGTTTCCTCTTGTTTGCAGCACAAAAAAATACTGATTCAAGTGAAAGATGACATACCTGTTTAAAAGTGTTCTTCTCTCCAGTATTATTAAAGACAATTACCAACATTGGTCATATTTTCCGCTTTTGGGTTTTCTTGGTTTTTGACAAAAAATGTTGATTGGAACATTCTTTTTTTCCTTTTGACTTTCAGGTTGATAAGAGCAGTATAGCCTGGTCACTTGGTTACATGCTGAGTCTCACCAACATGATTCCAGCAGAGATCCAGCTGATCCACTTACCCATGAACCCCTCTGTGTTTGCTGGACTCCTCCTTTTCTTCACAGCACTGACAGTACTGTGCCTCATCTTTCTTGTTTACTTGTCTGTTGTGTCACATATGCAAAAGAACATCGGTCATGTTGATCACGTACTTGCCGCAGAATGAACAGACTTAATGAGAGCTGAAGGCAAAAACTTCCTCTTCGAAGAACTTTATTTTAGAAAATCATGGGAGAAATAAAAAATAAAAATAAAAAACAGATCCAGAAACAAAAGTGGAATTAAGAACAAAAATCAAGAAAACTCTATGACAAAATATTGGATTTGTCTTGAGAGATCTAAACCGTTGTTTCTGTATACAGTGCGACAGTTAAGTCATCAGCAGATTCTCTGCTTTGTAAGTTAAACATTTGGGATTAAACAAGCCTGATCACATGAGACTTTTGTGCAAAATTAATAGACTTACCTGTTTAACAGTGCTAATCATTCCAAGGTACAAGCAAGAAGATAAAAGAAGATAGCAACAATACCTGTGTAGTGCCAGAACTGAGAGAGAAGCTCATTCCTTAAACTGGTAAGGACCTTGGATGATGATTACAAGGTGTAACTGCAAGGAGCATTGTACGAAAAAATACTGTTTTCATTACCATTTAGAACACAACAGAAGATGTAGCCCACAAGGTAAAGCTGAATTATTAAACTCCCTTTATTAATATTTATGAATTTTAAAAAACCCAATCCCAATACTGGGTATTCCAGTGGAAATATCAGAGTTAAGGTAGACTAAGATTTTCCCTTACAGCAGATTGAATCCCTCTCACATTTTTAATATCTAACCTGATTCTCCAAAGCATGCTACAATAAATCTTCAGAGGGCAGTTTAATTTTCTATCATTTTTAACTAACGTTTAGAGAGGAAACATTTTAAAAATGTTCTTTTGTTGAAATATTGACTTTTTTTCCATCACTTGCTTAGGTCCAAAACAACCATAGCCTGCCCGAACTTCACATTTAGCTGTCATTCAGATCATTTGAATACTATCATGAACAAAAGACCCTTCTGAAATGGTAATATTAATGCACCAAAAATCATTCTCCTCACTGAGGGTTGAGAGGGTATGGATCCAAGTTGTGAGGAGAGAGACGCATTAAGTGAGTAGGAGTGTGGGAGTCTGGTAGTGTGAGCAGATCTTTGGGGAAACAGGGTGGGAGGTTGCAGAGAGGAAGAAAAACCTGGAAAGTAAAAGGCATATGTGTGCAGAGGCCTGAAACATATGGATGGAGGCTGGAGTGGAGCTAGTTGTCCAAGGCAACAGTGTCATAGGTAGCCCCTCAAGTGATGGTGCCTCAACACAGACATTTTGCTCTTCTGCCATTGGTGCTCAGCAGTGGTGCACCAGGCAAGTAGTCAAATGTTTCTGTGTGAAGACTAGCTTAAAGGCTTCATCCATACTGTTACTGTGGCGCTCTAAGGAGCTTGCCTCCACAAAGCTTAGGCCTCCTAGACAATGCTGATTTTCCATCTACCCAAGTCTCCAGCCAAAACCTTCTTTCTCCACACCCCAGAGCATCCAACGTACCTTGCTTTAACCCTGCTCCTTCTACCACTTGAACCCTGCTCCTCTGCCCTGTGCTGTAGGAGCCCTTCAAACCCAGTGCCTCAACATGAAAACACTTGGCTTCTTCCACCCCTACGTAACTCCTACCTTTCAAGCCAAGCATCCAAAAGAAACACTGGTAAAGCTTTTCTCCCACATCTTTAGTCACTCCCAATTCCCTGCACTTTCACATTAAATTTCCCTTATTTTCTTTTGGCACAACGTGCACCAGCATCATGTGCAGCCCTGGGGGAAGGGATACAGGAAAAAGGCATGGAGAGCAGAAGGAAGGGGTGTGTCCATTGGCATAGGGAAGGTGCTCCTCTCATCTTCATTTTTCATCCCTCCCCGTCATACCCGGCCAAATTTTCCTATACTCCCCAAAGTTCTGTTTACCCACTGTGCTCCCAAACACCTCCCCATCACCCACCCAAGACTCACAATGGCCCCATGCCCTCCTTGTACCCCACTTCTCCTTGGGATACTACTTGGAACACATCCTCAATACAACATACTCACCTGGGCATTATCCACACCATGCACAAGAAAAATGCAAACTACATCAGGACAATGAATTTCCTACCCTGTGTAGAAATGTGTTAATTCCTTCTCTACCTCCATCTATTTACATCTTTCAGGAATATTTAAGCTGGAAAGAGGTCAGTAGGTAGCATTATCACGCTTAGTGTTTTCAATTTTTTGTTCCTTATTTCTAATTTTTTTTTTGTTTATACACTTTAATTAAAGGCCCATTAGATGAGTTTAAAAATGAGCTGAATTGCCTTTTATTTGACATAGAATGATCAAAGATCACGTTTTTTCTCACATTTTCCTAGTGATGAGGGTTTTCTACTTTTTTCCAACACCAAAGCAGGAAGCTACTACCCTTAAGGCAGTCTTAATTAGCTTTCCAGCAGTGCCACCCAAATGTTACACCACTATTTCTGACTTGGGAGGTGACATGTATGGAGAAACCTGGTGTGCTTGAACATGCTACTGCCTGGCGCAGTAGATTTATGATGCAGATGTGCTTTCAGTGGAGCGGCAGTACTGACAACTCAGCCACTTGCTAACATGACAATTTTGTCCAGATGTCCTCAGTCTTTAATGGATTCCAGAACTTCTACAAACTGTAATACGGTGGAACCCAGGTCATTCATATCTCTATAGTTCACCAGCTACTTGATTTGCAGTGGATTGAAGAATTAAGAATGGGTTGCTCAGCAGTTTGCTTTAACTTTTACTTCAAAGGACATTGCTTCTCTGACCAGCTGGAGCTTGTTTGCAGTGGGCTGCAGGGAAAGCTGTAGGAAACAGCTGGAGTGCCTCCGTGGTCCTGCACAGTTGTTTGCTGCAGCTCTGTATGCTTCCAGATACTTCAAATACCCTCATCCTTGCAGGTGGGTTAGGAAGCTAACCCTGCAAAGTCTCTGGCTTCTGCCGTAGTGGTCTGTAAATACCCCTAGATTCTTGTTACCTTTGTTAATGAAGAAAAACCCCATCAATCTGGAGTTCTCCTGAAAGCGTGGGAAGGGGATTTATCACCACGACCTTGGAAAGAATCCCAGTGACAGAGCATATTACATAATGTTAAAATCGCCTCTGTGGATCTTGGACTATGCTTGAAGCAGTCAAAGATTTTATTTAAATGGTAATGGCTACCATGGAATTTGCACAAAATAGAAGCCTCATTCTCTGCTGTTTGTTGACACCATAAGAAAGCAAATGGGAGCCTGATTCATGGACCATGAGACTTCCCCACAGTTAGGCAACTGTAGAAAGAGGTGGATGGGCAAATTAAGATGGGCTTGTCTTCAACTGCCAAACTTCTGCTGAAAAATTATATCTTAGCATGTGTACCTCATAAACCTGAGCTTGACTTCACAACAGACTTTATTTCTTGACAGCTCCAGTGATTTTCAAGTGCATGATTTTCCACAGGTGGAAAAGTAGTTTATGTCCAGGATAGAGGAATAGTATTTATCCTTGTCTAAACTGGTACCTAAAACTAGTTTATTGCTGTAGAGACAGATCTTGTGAATTCCAAGAAATTTGGACCTGGTTTTTAGATACATTTGGATAAAAGCTGCTGTGACTGCTCAAAGAACAGCAGATCCCTCTTCCACCATACCCACTTTCCTTCTCCCTCTGCTCCCAGTCAGATCCTCCCCCTATTTATGTACATCTCTATTTGATTACTGTAATACCTACTTTAACGTATTGTATTATGTAGTATTGCCTGGTCTTGTAGCTTTGAGAAATCATAGAACTGCATAAATGCTGAATTCTATTGGAGATCCAGTGAAGCGTGCAGGATTAGGAACATATATATATATATATGCTGTAAGTTATTTCATTTTTGTACTTTTTATTGTCTGTTTCTTTATGAAATAAAAATTAATTATAAAAAAGAGAAAAGCAAGGTCTATGTTCTGGTTCTGCTGGCTAAATTATTAGAGGGATTGTTACAGTTGTGCGGGCCAGGTGCGAGCCGGGCCCTTTTTCGTGCTGCACGCGGGCTGTGGCCAGCAGCCTGGGCACGCGGGGTCGGAGAGAGAGTCGCGACAAGCTAGAATTAGGCACAGACTCGTAGCGGTAGTTTTAAAGATTGTTTACTTACACCAAAGATGGTCGTGGTGTAGGCTGGAAAACTTGCTTGAGTTGCGATTACAGACAAAGACAACACGAACGGTCACGTGGAGTTTGCTAGGCTCCACGGAAACAGAGCTCCGGATGCTCTGGGTGAGCGTGCCACCAAAATCGGACTCGTAGATATGTCTTATAATATTTCCGCTCGAAGACGGGAAGAGGTGGGCGATGGATCAGGTCGCCAAGCTCCTCTGAATCTCACACAGGGGTCTTTACTTCCCTGCCGTGTACCCAGAGTCCCCACGAGATGGATGAGGAGTCCTCTCCGGCTTGGGCAGAAACCGCTCAAACCTCTTATACGGCTAACAAGCCAATCGTTAGCCGCCACGTGGGAATAATTTAGAACTAGCCAATAGCAGGACACAAATTTGCATACGGGTGGCGGGAACTCTTTTGCACCGTGCATTTCTCTTGCAACTTGAGCAATGCACCCTGCAAAAGAAGCTGCAAATAGGCGGGAAACTCGTCTCTGCACTGGAGTTTTCCTCTGCAGCAGAAAACTCTCCCGTGCAATGAAGTTGCAATCTGGCGGGGATAATTCTGGTGCCGAAGCACACACAAAATCATACCTTTGGGTTAAGTGTTGGAGGGATAGCTGGAATTATTTTCCATGGAAATGGAAACTTGCTATATGCAGAACTGACTGTGAGGTACAGGGTCCATATCCTAAGCATCTGGGCTGCGAGTGATTAAAAACTCAGTAGCAGCATTAGGAGCGTAAGTGCTGTCTGTGTCATGGAAAATCTTTATCCAAGTGTCAAAATTCAGCTTTAGAGACGCTCTTTCAATCTGCATTCATATTTGTGATTTTGCCACAGATTTCATTTTTAAAGAGGGTGGAGTTTTGATATTTTGAGTCAGATTCCAAACGCTTTTAGGGGCATTCACACCTAGGGCTTTGTTTCACTTTTGCCTCTAAGGCCTGGATTTTCAGTGTATGTGCTAAGAAATAACAAACAATTAAATTTCCAACTAAAAAGAAAACTGGGCAGAGACAGACTAGTAGAAAAAGAGCTGCCTGACAGATAAAAAAACACTATTTAAGGAAAAGACCATTTGACATGAAGCAAAACTTCAGCTATGGAGAAATATTTAGAAACTCTGCTGAGGAGGAGAAACAGAAATGATAAATGAAATGGAGATCTACATTTTGCAAAGGCACTGCTAGTGATTTAAATCAAGGGTGCTCAACTGCCAGTCCACAGGCCAGATCTGATTCCCAGCATCATGTCATCTGACCCATGCAGCTCCCTATGGGTCTGTGGGGAGCCCTAGGGGCTGTGTCCCATGTGCTAGATCAGGTGTGCAGGGCCTGATCCCAGCATGCAGGGCCAGGTGGAAGTGGCATAGAGCTCTGGAATGTGATCCTGGCACGCAGGGCTGAGCAGAGGCAGCACGGGGCCCCAGAGCCCAATCCCAGCAAGTGGGACTAGGCAGAGGCAGTGCAGGGCTCCAGGGACCAATCTCAGCATGCAGGGGCAACACTAATCTATACTGTAAAAAACATTCCTACACTGTTGGGAGCACAGGCAAAGATAATGTAAGTGATCTAGGAAGCAGAGTAGGGAGAAATCAACCACAACATCAAATCTGAAGGTCAGACTGAAAATTTTCCATCTGGTTAACTGCCGCTGTAGGCACAATGTTCTACATTAATAACTTGCGCAGTAACTAGGAAAATGCTACCCTGCCACATGTCATACTAATATCTCATAAACATCTTATTTCATGAATACTTTTCAATTGGTTTCTTTTGGGAATTAACAGAAAGGAAAGTCAATACAGAATCACATTCTCAGGTAAGTTTATGCATGACCGTGGACTGATATATTTTTTATTCTGATGAGGGGATATTGTTAATGATGCCTTTTATGCTTCATATTCACATACCAAAAAAGGCATCCCCTTATTTATAAAGGCACAATAGGGTGTACAATATATTCAAAGATCTATGTTGACTCGTCTAACACGGGTATTGAAAGTAGCATTAGAAGTCAACTATGGTAGCTCTTTGAAACAGTGTTCGATTCCATTTCAGTTACTGATTTTAAACAGGCTACAACTCAAATTTGGTATTCCTCTATGATGACACTATTAGTAATTCAAAAACTAAACTGAAAATACTATAATTGTCAAGAAAGATGTAGATACAAACCTGCTTTTATGGAACTTACAATGATGTAAATTAGATACAGCTCTCAGGTTTCTTCAAAATGACCATTGCAACCTTTGAATTTATCAAAGTTCAATTATCTCTGCTCTAAAGCTGAAAGGTTGATTAAAAGACCAAACCTTTCTTAGGAAAACTGTTGCATTCTCAGTTTTTGATTTCTCAGGAGACTTGTATGTCATAGCAGATGAAAAAAAGAAACATTGTCAACAATTGCATTATTTAAAAATCCAAAAGATATCATCTAGACCAGGGGTGCCCAACCTTTTTGAATGTGGGGCCGGATCATGAACTTTTTATCACTCAGTGGGCTGGTGAGCCATATTCATATTTTATCACTCCGCAGGCCATATGTTGGACAAGCCTGAAATAAGGCAAAGCTGGCATAAACCCCTACCTGTGCTCAGCTAGTGACAAACTACAGCAAATGATGTCGTGGACCAGCCATCCCAACAGCGGGGGCCTCCCTTCTGCCTACTATGACCACCATTTGAAGGCAGCCCCAGAAGATATTTGACAGCTGTGTTAAAATATGTGACCAAACCAATGTAGCCAGTGCTCTCACGCAGGCCAAGGGGCCACCTATGCCACTGCTTCCCCAGGCGTTGCCCACACCAGCAACACCGCTGCCCAAAGTCTTGGCAGTGTTCGGGCAGACGCGGCTGGGGCCCAGCCAAAGCGTGAGACGGGGGATGGCGGAACTGCGGAAGCAAAGCTGGCTCCCAGCCTGGCAGGGTCTCAGGCCTGGTCTGCACAGGGCAGCTCCTGGCAGGGGAAGGCCTTGGGGGAACACGGGTTGCTCTGCTCCTCTGCGCTTTCCTGCGGTGAAGGCAAACAGCCCCCAGGAGAGCAGTGCCCAGTCCAGCCACAGGGAGCGACAATCCCACCTCCCACCCCGGGCCGCCCCCGAGCAGTGCAGCCCCACGAGCTGGCACTGCCCGAGGGGGGCCAGAGCTAGGCGGCCGCTGCACCGCAACCCCTCACCCGCCTGTCCGCATGGCCCCGCTCACCATGGTGCCCAGCCGCCCCCGCACACAGCCCCGGTGGCCTCAGCGCTGCGAGCCTGAAGCGCGGGGCGCAGCGGACACTGGCTCCTGCTGCCTTGCCTTGCAGAGGTCATGCCAGGACCCCGCCTGCTGAGGCCCCCCTGGGGCTGCCCTGCCAACTGCCTGTGCCAGGCGCTGTTCCCTGTTCCTGCTCCCCTGGCTGCTGAGCCCAGCAGGTCCTGGGAGGTGGGCGGGATGCCGGGGGCAAGGGGCCAAGCTGGAGACAAAAGCAGGCGCTGTCCCTAGCTCGTCCCGTCAGGCGTAGCCAGGGCAGTTCTGCACCGTGCAGCCCTTGGGGTACCAGCGGGACCCGGCTTCCGTGACTGGGGAGGTCATGCGAGCCCGGCCCCACCGGGGTGAGCAGTTCCCCTCCCCTCCCCCACTCGCCTGTCCCGAGCGACAAGCCTCGGGCCTCACAAAACAGCTTGGCGGGCTGTATGGCAGGCCCCCGGGGGCTGTATGGCAGCCCGCGGGCCGTATGTTGGACAAGCCTGAGCTAGACTCACTGCTATGACCACGAACCAGGAGTTTAAAATAAAACCATGATGTTAATTTTGATGTGGGATTTTCAACTGCCTGACACAGTTAGGCACCACTGCCCCTCAGTGAACTGTTTCCCAGGTACTAGTTTGCACTGTCCACCTCAGTCAAGAATCCTTCTCTTGGCCCATATACTTTAAAATATTTTTATTATACACCAAACTCATAAAACATTTGTGATAACAAAAAGGAATATTTTTATGCATATAACCTGGTATATTTGACTTCATCATTTCCAGGCACAGAAAATAACTTGCCACTATCTTACTCTTGGCTTCTCTTAAGAGTCTTCCTTTCATAGCAAACATTTTATGCTAATTATTATGTTCATAAAAATCTTTCAACATCTGATCCCCATCAATATTATCCTGGTATATATACAGCAAAACCAACCCAGAGAGCAGACTTTTGTCCAAAGGACTATTTTGCCATTTCTTGACTGTCTGCGGTACCCATAAATGTTTTTTTTCTGGAGAGAGATTGATTGGCAGGGTGGCAAAAACAGACAACATTAAGATCAGGATACGATGCTGGAGTCAGCTCTTGAAGAGTGCTGAGGATGCTGTTTGGCTGTTCATCCCTTGAAACATCTATCCACTTTTCACACCATCTTTGCAATTCTGCTTTAAAGTGTTCAAGGTTAAAAAGGTAGACTTTGTATGCATCATACAGAGCCATGACTGTCTCTTCATTTGCTAGCAAATGCAGTTTATTTGGCATAAGATACAGAGCAATAAAACATGAAGACCAATCTAACACTTGCTTCTGAAGCTCTGAAGTTACGTGGTCCAGATATAGAATGAACAGTCTTCCTGTAATATTCTTGATGATCTGTGGAATCAATGTTATCATAATCTATTTTTTCTGCCATCAGCAAAATGTTTTACTTCAGCAAAGAGAGAAGAAAATGTTGTGTCATCCTCTTTCCCCATTCTCCTGAGTATATAAATAAGGTTTGCTTCATTAGATGCATACATTAGCTCCACACCTACATGCTGCATGTATACATATAGAGATTTCATACATGTAGAGATGTAATCAACACACACCATTATAACCAGGAATTTAAATTTAGTGGTGGAATATAACAATCGGTCAGCATCAACATCATAATCAACTATTTTTTTCTAAGAAACCAAGAACATCAGCAAAATGTGTTTTAAAAAGAATATGTCCATTTGGCTTATCCTTTGTATATTGCATCCCATAGGCATGCCCTCCATAAATAAACCCTCCTCTTTAGAGTTTATTTAACAAACTTCTGAGTTCCTGAAGCCCTCTAATATGATTGGCAGGCTGCTCTGCAGAATTTCAGTTATGACTTTCTCAACAGTGTTAACAACTTGGCTACCTGTCGCATTCCACAAGAGAGAACAATTGCTGTGCTCAACTTGTCCATCCTGTGGGCAGAGTATACTGCTGCTGGAAAAACATCACAAATGTTTGCCTTCTGTTCGCATTTATTGCTTACCATGTTACAGCTGTAGCCCTTCAACAATTCCCTATGTAATCCCCAAGTTGCTATTTATTCCAGAAAAAGTTCTGTAAGTTGCATTTGAGGCATCTACAAAAATCAATGAAATCTTCCCAGAGTTCCACTTGCCCATCTTCATTTTTATGGATATAACATAAAGTCAACAACTATTTTTTTTCTTGAAATGGCAGGGGCTGCATCAACCATTGAACTAAAAAATGGTGATGCTTTTACCCACTCTATAATCCTACTCAGGGTATAGATTCCTATCAACTTTATGAGTTCATTTTGCATTTGTTCTGATGTGTCCAACATATTATATGGTATATAACTAAGTTGTTGTTTCAAATTTGGGTCCAGTTCTGCAATGTAACATAAGAAAGCCTATACAATTTTGGTGCTTATTACTTGTCCACTCATCAAACATTCTGTTTTCTACAAAAGAAAATGATTTCAATTACTTGTTTCAGAGCATGCTGACTGTGTGCCGTCAACCTTTTCTTCTGCTCATATGCAACAGATTCATCTGTCTTTGCTACAGCATGAATGTGATCTTTGGATCTGCTGTGTCTCTCAAGTATTTTCTTGCTGTTGGACCACTCTCTCAAGGGAGTGGAAACCAAAACTGTATCTTTGATGCTGTTGAACATAAAGGACAGCCCACAGAAAACACTGTCCAGATACTGGGAGTAACATGCAAACATATACTCTTGAAGGAGCTGCACGCTGCAGTGATGATACTTCTGACTAGCCCCTAAACCCAACAGCCTTTTAGGGAACTGAAAATCTGAAGGCAGCAATCGCTGAATGGCTAGGATGTCCCTCCTCTGATCCCCAGTCAAGCTTGCACGATCCAAGAGACCAATGTCATCTTTGCTCTGGAAACCACTCTTTGGAGCATCCTCACCTTCTCGGTCACAAGCTTGTGATGTTGATGTAATCTTTTTATGTAATCTTTTTTATGGTATATCTAGCTTTTGCAAACTATATCTAACTGAATACTTAAGGCAACTTGCAGATGCTGGGAGTATGTGTGTGTTAAGAGATGCTTGCAGAGCACAGCGTGTGGGATACGGAGGATTCCTGGAATGCCTCCCTAACACCAGCAGGATAATGTCTCCCTGACAAGATAGCAAGAAGTTCAGAAAAAGGTCTCATTATAATGCTAAAAATCACACCCCTGGGCAGGGCAAAAGTATGTTAATGAAACATATATGTACGCAAATGAATTACATGGCTAAAACATAGGTATAGAGACATGCTCAGTAGAGAACGTCTTATGTCAGTGGCTTGTAACCAATCACTGAGCGATACACTTGCAAACATATGTATAAAAGGTACCCAAAGGTAGAAACCGGTGGTGCTTGCTTTGCAAACGATTGCCAAGCACCCCTCTCTGCGCTGACTGGAAACAATAAAGATTAAGTTGGATCCTCCACCCGTGTGTTTATTGGCAAAAGCGCACCGGGCACGAACTCACACTGTCCTTTGGAGACAACAATGTGGCCATCCCATAAAGACTCTGTTTTACAACATAAAGATCCTGGGCTTCTCCATTATAGTCTTCCTGAGCTTTCCTTCCAGCCATCTCCATGTCAGTAGCATCGCGGTCCATTGAAATATTTCTGAAATGATAGAAAATGAAAAGCAAGTGTTGCACAAATTGCTAGTTTCGTGCCCCCGGAGGCTTTGTCCAATTTACCTCAAGAGAGTCACACACACAGGCTGGGTCCAACTCGAGTTTATTGTTTGCAAACAAGTTCGACAACGGAGCTAAGTGCTCAAAGCGAAGTCGACCCCGAGCCATGCCCGAGGTTTCATTTTTATAGCTAACCTGAACAAAAGATTCCAACATGATTGGTTATATTTTTCTGCAGAGTTTAGTACATGCGTAGTCCTAAAACGGAACTGTGGCAAAAAGACCTGCCGCATGCACAGTCCCGACCTATGTGCCCCTTAGTAACCTTGTGTTTTGGTGTAACTCTAGGATAACGAGTGAGTATGATGATTACAAAATTTAGGTGTTCTAACAAGAAGCTTTGAACCTTATCACAAAGCGAGCGTTGCCTGGACTGTTTCTTATTATGACACTGCTTATCTACTGCAGGAGGAGAAAAAGAAAAAGCAGCCCCCACACAAGGCCGTAAGGCCTTGTGCAGCTTGCATAAGAGATCATGAGACATTTTTACCACACAAGTATCAGCAATGCAGCAAGGTGGAGCATGCTGATCCTCACCATGTAGGGCTCAGCACTCACGGACGTACTGGATGGGGAGCCCCAGCGGTTTGGGGCACCTTCCACTTCTCCTGCACTGGCTTGGAGCTCTTCCTTTTCTAGGCCCCAGACAAGCAAGTTTAGAGTGGCGCTGGGTAAGCTGGTGGATAAAAGCAAAAGGAGTCGGTAGGGAGACGTGAAGACTGAAAAACAGCGGTGGGAGCCCTGCAGAACCAAGCATCGTTCAAAGGTGCATGGAAAGCCCAGGCTGGCAGACGTCGCCAAGCAGCCAACACCTGCCCGGCACCCGCCCTGGTACCCTGTATTGACGGCTGTCCTGGCCTTCAGCACGCCACAGCCCCGCGCGCACGCGCAGCAGAAGCGACGTTTTCGCGCCGGGCCAGGCGCATGCGCCCTACACCCCATAGGTAACGACAAAATCCCTCCACGCCACCACAGACTGTGGGCGTGCTGCGCATGCGCACAGCGCAGCTCAGCTTCCGGCCTATCCCCTCCCTCCCGCTGCCCTCACTACCTAAAGGCGCATGCGCCGGCGGAGGGCGGGCATTAGTCCTGCCCCCACACACACACACACACACTCTCTCTCTCTCTCTCTCTCTCGCTCTCTCTCCAGTACGCAGGCGCAATGCGGCCCCGGAAGCGGTATCTGAGCGCGGCGGAAGCCGGCGCGTCCCTTTCGCTCCCGGGCGGCCATCATGGTGAGCGCGGGCCACGGCCTTCTCCGCTAACGGCTTCCCCACTGCGGGGCCGCGTGGGAACGGGGGCGCCGTGCGGGCCCTCAGGGTTGGCGGGGAGGGTCCCGGCCTGGGGGAGGGGCGGTTGGCTGGCGGGGTGCGGTGGGGTGGCGTGTGTCTGCAGCGCCTCATGCCCCCTTCCCCGCCGCAGGTGTTCAAGCGCTTCGTGGAGATCGGCCGCGTGGCCTACGTGTCGTTCGGGCCGCACGCCGGCCGCCTCGTGGCCATCGTGGACGTCATCGACCAGAACCGGGTGAGCGCCGCGCCCCCGCCCCGCTCTGCCGCGCGTCTTTGTTCTGGAGACTCTGCAGGGCCCGGGCGGCGCGGACCCGCTGTGAGGGGGAGGGGGCCTCGCCCTCCGTGCGTTTTCCGTTCACTTCATCACAGTGTCTCTGGGACATGCACATCCCATCCAGTGCATGCAGAGCTGTCATGGAGATACGGCTGTTGTCACGTGCCCCAGCACGACCTGTGCTTGGTGGTGATGTACGAGCATAAGAATGGTCTCGCCCTGGGCTGGGCCACAAGTCCGTCCAAGCTCCATCCCTCATCCGTTTGTGTCTCCGGGCAATTTCACTGGGCAGTGTCCACTGACTCCTTGGGCTCATTCAAGGGCCAGTGGGTGCCATCTGGCATTCAATGCTTGCTGTCCACCTTCGGTGCACTCATTATAAACTTGTGACCCTCACTCCCATCCCTGTTACGTTATTTGTCCCAAGGAATCAGTGATGCACCCTTAATGGCTGCATTGCCAAGGGGGACTTACAGTTTTTATTTAGTGGGCTTAGGTCCATGTTTTCCAAAGACGTGTCAAAAGGCCTAGGTCGTACAGAAACGCTGTTTCACGGGTTGGCGCCCACATGCTCCCTCAACTTGTTCAGGGGAAGCGGGTGCTGGCCAGTGCACTCTCCTTGGTGTCTCCTTCCAGTTCCCTTGTTATTAACCTATGACCTTCCTCTTCCTCGTGTGCGTTTTTGTCCCACATAATCAGTTCTGGTGTCTGCAGTGGCCTCCCTTATTAAATGAAACTTACAGTTTTTTGTGATGAGCCTGTGACTGTGGTACACCAAATAGGCCTGTCACACGAACTTGAGACTTCTTGGTCGACTGCCTCCTGGCTCTGGACAAGCTGCCAATCTACCAGACCAGGAAGGAGGCTCTGGTCTGGGGAAACCCGGGCGAGTCTCTGGCCATCTTTCTGTCACTCCTGTACTCATTGCTTTTGGCAGAGTTTCACTGATCACCACCTGCAGGCTCCCTTGACTCAGGCTCAGTGTGTTCTGCTCAGTGTCCCCTTCCAGCTCCTGTGTTATGAACCTGTAACCTCATTTCCTTTTCTGTCTTCCTTTTATTGCTTGTCCCAAGAAATCAGCTGATATGCCTGTAGTGGCCTCCCTTTCTAAGGGGGCTGTGTAGTATTCCTTGGTGGGCCTATGCCCGCAATCTCTTTGGCACATCAAATAGGCTCTCACAGGGGCAGAGAGTGGGTGCTGAAAGGGAGAGTGAACTAGGTCTGATCGGGTTTTTTCCCCACTGTTCCTCCCTCACTTGCAGCCTCCAGCGTTTAAGATCTAGGATGTTCTGATGCAGAGACTGTATCACTAACTCCTGTAACCCATGGGGGTGGAGAGAAAACACATAACATTTGAGAACTTTTCTGTGCTATCCAGCAGAAAAAGATTGTATTTTTAGTCCAGCAACAAACAAAGGCTGAGAGGGGGTTGTGCTTGCTGCTTTCCATAAATATGTGAGGGAAGCAAGCACACGGGATAATGGGTATTTAAATGAAACTGCAGTGTTGATGCAGCAACAAATTCATATGAACTGACCATAATTTTAGGTTGGGAATTGAATGAAAGCCTGGAACTATTAGGGAAGTTGGTTTATGGGAACCCCCTTTCTGTTGTAGTTGAGCAAAGCATCTAGGTAGACTTCAGACCGAGCTTGATATGTTTATGAAGAATAAATGATGTGATTGTAGGTGCTGGGATTACATTACCCAGGAGGTCTGTTCAGTTTTAGGCTCGCAGGATGATGTGGGGGAAGGACATGAGGTAGTTTTATCCCTCTGCTAAGAGACCTTTCCCCTTTCAAATTGGGAAAACAATGCTTTAAATGCTATCTGATCTTCCCATAAAGTTTGGGTTATATGCCACAGTTTGTCTTTTAGTGTTACAACTATACTGCATACTTTGCTTTTAAAACAGTGTTTTCATATTGGTGGATCAGATATCAATTGAAAGTTTCTCTTTGGAATTGGGATATGTGGTGTTTGTTTTTTTTAAGTAAACAAATAATTGGCTTTATTTCAGGCGCTAGTTGATGGCCCCTGCACTGGTGTCAGAAGGCAGGCTATGCCCTTCAAGTGCATGCAGCTGACTGATTTTGTTCTCAAATTCCCACACAGGTAAGTTGTCTGTCATCTTGTAGTGTCTCAGAAATGCTGTTTCTGAATTAATCTGAAGCTAGTTGAAACTATTTACTTAATTTGGTAGGGTTTTAATAATGGAATGAGAGATTAAAGTTACATATTTACTTTTATGAAGTTCTGAGGATTTAAATTTTAGACTTAATTGATTCATATAATAAAAACTGTATGAAGATGCTATAATAATGACATGCAGCTAAAACTCATCTGACCATACCATCAGAATTGAACATTAGATGTATTGCCAGCATTGTTGATTTGCAATGCCCCAAAGTACATGGAGTTAACAAATCAGATTTAAGCAGTGTATATTCTATATTACTACAGTGTCTTTGAGAGCTTACTATGGGGAGATGTGATGTGACTTTTTTGTTTGTTTGTTATAACTTACAAGCAGCTGTCTCAGGCTGCATAATGAATGGATGGTATTGGATACCCCAGATACCACTTCTCTCCTCTATTTGCAATTTCGTGCAATGGCTGAACTCGGGTCTTCTCTTGAGCTTCTCTATATAATAATTGCTGTTGGGATTTACTGAGAGTGGAAACAGACATTGCTGTTTGATTTTATTTGTGATGCCATGCAATGTTTATGGTGGTACAAAGGCCAAGCAGACATGTCCGTATCCCTTGTCATGCCACAAATAGTGGCTGTGATTAGGTGTGGTCAATTTGGGTTGCTACTCAGGGGCAGATACCTATTTGCACTGAAGAAGCGCAGGCAGCCTGAAGCAGGTTCTCTAGGGGTTTGAGGCCCCAATCCTGCACATGCTAGGAATTCTATGCAGGATCGGGCCACTCAAGCCCCGGGAAGGCCTGCTTGGCTTTCCTTGCTTATTGAGATTTGCCCTCTTGGGAACTCTGCAGCTTTCTTTGGTAAGCAGAGACAGTCGAGGTTTCCCTGGTTACTGAAATGTACCCCTCAGATCTCTGGGGCATGTCTTGGTAAGCAGGGAAGGTCAGGTAGATGCTCGCAGGCTCGAGGGGCCCCGTCCTTCACAGAAATTCCTGAGGTGCACAGCACTGGGCCCCTCAAGCCCTAGGAGTACGTCACCTATTGTCCTGTATCATGAACGGGAGATGTGTACTTCACCCAGTGAAGCAGATTGCTTGTGCTGTAATGTGCCCTGGCACGGCTGATCCACTTAATTTGGTGATGTTATTTCTACCCTGGGAGTAGTTATGCTGATAATTGCATACCTTAAATCTCAAAATTCCTGCCTTTCTAAATATTAAAAAAAAGTAAAAAGGATAGGATTCTTTTTAAAGAGCTCATTCTTTCGGTCCCAGTTAACTGACAAGATGACAAAATGAAGATGCACACGAGTATACTTGTTAAGATTTCAATAAGCTTTTAGTCGATCCTTCTGTGGACTAAAGTCATATGAATAATAGTCAGTAATCTGTATTTGGTGATTAAATTCTCTGCTGTTTGAAAGTAGTTGCAACTCCTTAAGGTGTTGATTTCCATGTGGGAAAATACATAATGTGGATTCATCTGTTTTAAATATAGTGCTCGTCAGAAGCATGTGAGGACCGCCTGGGAGAAGGAAAATATCAATGAAAAATGGGCAGGTACAAGATGGGCAAAGAAGATTGAAGCCAGAGAAAAGGTACTGCTGCATCTAGAGATTCATTCAGGGCATGCATACTTTAAAAGCCCTTCTACTGCCATGACTTGTAGCTAGATGTATAGTATGCACCCTAGGAGGGACAAGCTATTAAAGAGGCTGTGGCAGTTGCCAGAAAGTGTGGACTAATAGAGTTGCTTTCTGATGGCTTTTCTGTTGCTTGCAGAGCTGGTGTTGCTGTCTAGGCAGAGCAGAGGAGCGTTCCCACATCTGTGGGGATATGGGATGGACTCCTTAATTTGCAGGAAGAACCCAAGTTCTGTCAAGAACCTGTAATATAGATCTGACCTAAAACTTCTCAGATTAATTAAAAAAGACGCATGAATTCAAAATGTAAAATAAGTCTACCAGACACAAAAGCACTAAGTTTTAGAAGTTGTAAAAGCTGTAATTACTTGAAATATTGGTTCTCAGTGCAGTATTTATTTATTTTTTGTTTTGCTGTTTCTACAGTCTTCATTCTGTTTATTCAATCACAAAAAGCATTTTCCAGCAAAGGCAATGTAAAACTAAACTTAAAGAGTTGTGGAGAGGATATTTCCGAACACAATTTCAGTGAATAATTTGGTGTGGGGGGGAAAAATCTCTTTGAAGCCTTAGGTTGAAAAGCATTAAGTTCACTTCAAACTGCTGAATCATTTAACTCTTAGGAGTTACCATTTAATTGTTGAATTTTTTCCTTCAACAGAAAGCCAAGATGACAGACTTTGATCGTTACAAGGTCATGAAAGCAAAGAAAATGGTAAGTTATGAAAAGCATAGGTAAGGCAACAGACTAGTCTAGAATTCGCAGGACAGTCATGGTTTTTTGGGCTATGTCCCAGTGTTAAAAATACAAACCACAGTTACATAACTTAAAATAGAAAAAAGGATCCCAAATATTTACATACGGTACATCTAACTACAGTGACAGTAGCATGGCTCTTGGAGGTCCAGCTTTCTTGATGTGTTGGATTGTTCTTTGCAGTATGGAGCCCCACAAGCTTCTGGAGGGGGCTTCCACAATTTTGGTGTGTTGCACTGTCCTAAACTTGGCTGCCTTAGAGGTCTCTTAGAGGCCTGACTTCCCTGATAGGTTGTATTGATCTTTCCTTGTGGAGGCCATGATTTCTGGATAGCTTGTGCTATCCTTCATCTTGTGGAGGCCCAGAGGCGTCTTGAAGGCTCGACTACCTTCTTTGATTGCATTGTCCTTTGTCTTGTAGAGGCCCCTTATGTCAGACTTCTTGTGATGTAAATCACTGTCCTCTGTAGTGTGACAGTGCTGTTCCTTCTCTGACAACTGTATTGAACTGTAAAGTATTGATCAAAGTCATTGAGAGTGTCATGTTGAGTAGAGTCTCTCATGTCTTCTGCCTAACAAAGGATGATTATGCCAGAAAGATTATAACTGACATTTCAGAAACCTTTGTTAATAGCAAATGTACATAGATTGTTGTGTTGGTTGCTTTCACTACAGTTGATGTTGTAAAACTATTTCTTTACAGAGGAACAGAATCATCAAGCATGAAATCAAGAAGCTCCAGAAGCAAACTTCCAAAAAAGCCTCCTAAACTGTCATTGATGAAATAAAAGTCCAGTTTAGTATATCCCAGATGCTTGTCTGTCTTTGTATTGTTTTTAACTACTGACTGTTAGAAATATTAAAATGGTAAGTTTTACAGTAAACATCTAAGGTGTATAGCTTGGTTAATTTCCAATGTTCACTAAATGTTTGAGCCATTTCCTTCAGTAGGAGTTGAGTATACAGAACCTCGCTTGCAGGCCTTTAACCAACAATGAGACCTGAGTTATGGTTGTGATTTGCCATTATTGCGCACGTTCTGTATTCACTAGGTATTTACACACACTCAAATTGGAACTAGCAATTGAAATCTTAAGTTATATTTAGATCAGTTTGCTGTGCGAATCATGTAGAGCAAATGAAGCTACTTGTAGTTTTTTTTTTTTTTTTTTTAACACTGATGTTCAGTGAGAAAATTGGAGTAGACTACTCTTATTCAAAAAAATATCAGGACATAAAAGTATACGTAACTGCTGTTTTTGAAGCAATTTTCCTGGGTTTGGAAGCTAAGAGAGTCTTGGTGGTGGTGTTCTACTTCCTTTTTTGTAATATTATCACTAGGTGTAGATTAATATGCATAAAAATGCCTAATATATATACTCTAAGAATGCACTTAATCAAAATATGTCCTTTTAAATTTTATTATATATTCTCAGAACTTAGAGACTGAAGAAATCACATTAGTAAGTGAGTAACTAGTAAAAATGTTGTCCAAAATGTGTGTACACTTTAGGATATCCTCATACTATATCCTTTTATTTGCACAATAATTTGATTCATAGTACATATCTAGTACTTTCCCCCAAGTTTTCCCATGATCATTTCATAGACATTTGGGCTGGAAGGGACCCCGGAGGATCACTGAGTCCAGCCCCCTGCCCCAGGCATTTGTGGCATTTCACAGGATAAGTTTATTAAACTGAGAAAGATACCTCTCAATGTCCTCAGATATTACAGGGGAAACTTGAAAATGGGCCAGCAAGGTTGGTATTTTGTTCTGGTAGTTCCAAACCAGTACTGTTCAAGTAATTCTTTGCAGCTCAAAGTGCTTCATGTCCAGGGTTCCTCTTGCAAATTTTTCAGCCTCTTTCTCACTTGTTCTGTGCCATGCAGAGCAAAGTTAAGACTTATCCAAGGAAATTGTATAACAAACCCCATGTTTCAAGTTCTTTGATTGCCTGTTGTAGATGAGAAAAATGTCTCAACCGTTGCAAGCTCCCTCCTAACTAGGACTTGTCAAAAGTCATTTGTGCAGCATAGATGGAAGTTACCTGCTGGTGTGAAAACTGCTGATAATATTTTTTTACCACCTCAAAATACTAAGTGTAAAATACGTCTGTTTTTAACCAAGTTCTCCAATGTGTCAGTATGGGCTCTGATGGAATAGGCATGCCACCCTTTTCATGGATTCCTAGATGCTAGGGTCGGGAGGGACCTCAGCAGATCATCGAGTCTGACCTCCTGCCTAGGCAGGGAAGAGTGCTGGGATCAGATGACCCCAGCCAGATGCCTATCCAACCTTCTCTTAAAGACCCCCAAGGTAGGGGAGAGCACCACCTCCCTTGCAAACCTATTCCAAATTTTGTCCACCCTTACCATGACATGTTGTGCTGCATCCTCAATGTTGCCTTTTAAAATCACTTTTCTCACTTGAAATGATTATTGACAGCTGGCACCTCAAGTCTGTTCAGTCAGCTGATTGAGTATATGTACCACAGGTGAAGTGCAGTAGGTATAGATGAAGCAGTGCTATTACTGTTTTCAGCATATAGGGGGCAATATCTGCGAGCAGATTTCTTTTCAATTTCTTCAATTTTTGCAATTTTTCACTGCTGGCAGTGGAGTTAAGCCACACTAAATGTAAAGAAGCATTCACAAAGCATACCGTTGCATGATTTGTTCAGTACATTTAATGTAGAGTACTGGTGCATACTATTGTTATGCAGAGGTCAGTAGCAAAATTATTAGGTTCTACAGAACAAGTGCAGCAGCCTCAGGACTGACTTGAGAGAACAAAGCTTTTGCATGGAAAGGACTAGTTTTGTTCAGTTTTACTTTTGCTTTGCTTAGCAAGTAAGTGGTTACTAGTCTTAGTGTGTTGCTGAATCTAGAACTATTTCTCACGTGGAACTTGCTTCTTGCATCATTGACAAAATATTTTATCATTGGTTGTAAAAGCTTCAGTTGCAGGCTTCCCTTGCTGTAGTTATTTACTTTTTCTAGGTTTGCTTTGTGGCATTATTAGACGTATATAGACAGTACCAATTGAAAACCTCTCTACTTTAGTTTATAAAAACAAAAATCCCGCATAAGTAGCACTGCATATTCCCCACTGAGGCAGTCTGTACCTCTAACTGAGGTTGCTGCTGTAGTAAAACTTTAGTGTCAGGTGTATACCAGACTACATCAAATTATATCAGCATGCCTTTAAGCCAGGTGACCTGAAGGAGGCCCAAGGGAGAAGAGCGGCCCCTCCCTCAGTTCTGAAGGGATGGAAACCCAGAAGGGGAAACCACTGTGTTGGTATCTGCTGAGGAGCAAGGGAATCTGAGTAAAGGCACCAATAGGCAAGCCTAGACATGCTTAATATCACATGTGTGATACTAGTAGTTTTTCAGCTGTATAATGGCTAGTCATCTGTACTCTCATTTACAGTGAATCAAATAAAACTTTCTCCCAGTATCAGTGAAAAATTACTATAAAGCCTGAGGAAATTATGTATAGATGGCCAGGATCAACTATACATAAAAAGCGGGCACCATGAAGTACAAGATTGTGGGGTTTTTTTCTTTGAAAAAAATTGTGTATTTTCCTTTAAAATGTAAATATATGCTTTTATGCATTAATATGCACTAACCCTTCAAATATGCATCTATATAACCAATAAAGCATGCATATTTGCAACTGTATTGATACAAATAGTGTAAAGTTCAGAACAGTCAAAGTTCTGAACCTGCACACACAGGAAAAGTCAATGTGTAAACATCCTATATCTAGTTATCACTCTAAAGGCTCAGCCAAAAACAATTTTGGCTCAAAATGTTCTATACTTTTTGTTCTATACTTGCCCCTAAGTTTGTAAGAAGCGTATGGGGCCTGGAGTACTTAAACATTCTAGTAGTATCTTGTGGCAGGACAGATGAACAGTTGTTCTTTGAACAGGAGTTGATGTGCACAAGGGCGTAATAGAATAGGGCGTGATCTCGAAGTCCCTAAGAAAAACTCTGTTCATCTCAGAGGTAAATGTATCGTACTTCCCTGCTTTTTTTGACTTGGTGTAAGGCTAAGATGTTATAAAGACAAGTATATTTTTGTTTTTTTCATGGACTTAACCATGATCCTATTCCACCACGCTCAGGTGCCTAATAGCTGGAATAGGATTGGCCCCATATAAAAAAAAAGAATAGCATCAATTCCTTTTAAATAAACCTATGAAGATCCTTTTATCTACCAATGTATTAAAATTATTTAAATAAATATGAACTACATAAAAATCTTCTTTTTTGTGTATTAGTGCTGTATTTTACTTGTATATACAAGCAGGGGAACTTAAACTTTTGAGGTTAAGCTTTTAAGTATTACTTTTTTAAAATCTTGACGGTACCAACAGATGCTGGTATCATTGCATTTTTCTAAATGGCAATACTGAGTTTGTCTGTCTTTGTTTCAGTTCAGCTAGCAGGTATAGACAATACTTTCTTCAGTTGGATTAACTCAGTCAGCTGAGAAATTGGAATTAAAAAAATGGGACAGCTTGTTTTGTCTTCCAGTCTATGAATAAAAATGAAGTGGGAGAAGAGAGGTACCAATTAAAAAAAAAAAAAAGAGGTTGACACCCCCCCCGCAAGCCTATAAGGATTTGGTTTTTCTAGGAGTTGAGCACCTAACTTATTTATACGCTTACAGATCCACTAGGCTCCTATGTGCATATCTAAGGACCTGAGCACCTTTGAAAATTCATCCCACAGTGATTTAATATATAGGTGCAAAGGATATTTTAATGGTTATTCGAGGAGAATGATTATTAAAGAAAACTAAGCAGAAATACAAATGTAAAATGAGATTAAAATAAATTATTTTAAAGCAGGATTTCCTGCTTGTTGGAAGAAATGTCTCAAATTATAAAATGTTTCCCAGATGTCTGTAACAATAGGCGGCAAATCCTTATCTTAAGAATTTCTTCAGTGGCTTCTGTATTGGAACATATTACCGATGGAAGTTGCAGGCAAAATTAGTTAAGGTTAAGTTAAGTAGTTTCCTCCTATTTTAATAGGAATACAACTGAGCTAGTCATTTGGAATGCTTTCTGAAGTCTGTCTGGTTAACGTGTAGAAACAGCTGTCAGCAGGGTCCTGCCACAGAGTGAGGGGAAGAATGGCCTATTCTGGAACCCATTCAGTGCCCTTCCATTTGTCTTCCTATATGACCTTGAGCAAGACCCTTAAATATTGATTTTTCAAAAGCTGCTTAAGACTGATTGATTTCAAGGTGAGTTAAATACTTGAAGGATCTGTGACTTAAGGTATTTTTGCCCCATTTTCACATGTATAAAAAAGGTATGAATATCACTTCCCTACCTCAGGGTCTTCTGAGAGTAAATAGGATGAAAACTGAAGCTCTTATAGTGATACGGGAAACATACTTTTAGATGAAGAACTTGGACTTGCCCTATTTCCTATATTGATAGTTGTGTCTATGAGTAGTTGTGTCTGTCTTTAGAATACTCTGTCATTCCTACCTATGTATTGCCTGTGTGATTGAACACTTGAAAAGAACAGAAATTAAACTGCAAAAGGTTAAGTCAGTAAAACTTAAATGTACATAGTTAAGGTTATATTATCAAGCTTTTAAAATGCTCTTTTCGAAATACAGCTTGTACACTAATATGACACCTGAAGCTCTTAACTCATTTCAGTTTTTATCTGCTTTGTTCTGTAGTCTGGATGTATTTTTAAAATGTCAACACAGATGATGCTTGGAAACATCTTTCCCGTAGCTTGCCACAGGATGGTACTATTTACTTTATGTAT